TTTGTTATCATATTATTTACTGAAGGTAGTTTTATCATATGTTTACATTGAGTCTATTTTTTTCATTTAAAAAAAAAAAAAAGAAAATACAAGTTATAGTACATGGGTTGATATTAAGGCATTGAATCAAGAGATGAGAACTCTTTTGCTTGATTGGATCTGGATTGTATATGGGTTGATATTAACTACAGTAAGTAGTTAATATGGCTGTGAATAAAGTGGGGCAAGCATATATATATATATATATATATATACACACACACATATATATTTAGGTGGCCATTAATGTAGTGAGCAGTAGGACAGTGTCCTCCACTTTTATAAATCAGGAAGAAGCATTTGCTTTGCTGTATAAGAGTTTTGACCTCTACCCACTTCCATTTTGTATTTGGTCCAAACACCGCCATGAATGTCCTTTTTTTTTTTCTGAAATAAACAGAACACTGCCATAAATGTCAATGGAAGTCCTGAATAAAATTATGGCACCTTAACTCGATGTTAATGTTATCTTCCATTTTTCAATAATACTCCACCCAGAGAAATTATGGGCTTCTTCACCATACCCAGAAATATTATAAAATTCCAGATTATAATGACATTAATTATATATATATATATATGCATATGTATATGTGTATGTTTGTATTATTATACTCAATTATTGTTGCTACGTGAAATTTTTTTGAAATCTTGAAAATATCAAGTCTTGTTTCATTTAATTTAGTTTTTTTTTTCTTTAAATAAAGTAAAAATATATCCTTTTTATTAATAAAATAATGCGTATATTTAAAATTCCAGAATTTAAAAAAAATTAATTTATATTTTAAATACGGAAGCAAACAAATAAGTTAAGTTTTATATTTCTTACATAATAAATTAGAATGTCCAATAAAACTACAAAAATACTCATCCTATAGTGGTTCGTAAAAAAAAACAAATAAATTATTGAAAATAAATAAATAAATGTCATAGAGAGTTAACCTCTACTAGCACTTGAAAGAGATCTGGGAGGTAAACTACTCACAACTTTCTTACTGATCGGGTTCTGAATTTTGATTTTTTTTATCTAAAATGGTTAATAAAAGAATGAGCTACACTAACCCAGTAAAAATATCACACTAATAACTTATACGGAAAACGAAGGTTGATAAAAATCACAAAACAACTAATAAAACCCTTAATGTAAGTAAATTCATTTAATATTAAAATATTATTCTCATACTTACTGTTACGAATTTTTTAAAATCAACCTATGAAACAAATACTCATATAACATTATGATATTATGTATAAGTAAGATCAGTAATTCTCATCTTTTTACACGTTTACTGGTACTCCTGATGATCTATAAGGATATTTCTTTATTCATAAACTCAATATCTAGATTTGTTAATTAATCTGGTTATCTCCATACTCCGTCCGGTAATGAGCGCCAAACACACCAATGCCTCGAGAATCCGTCCAGTATAAGGGTGAACTATATCTCTCAAACCCTTTCGATATGGGACTTTTCAGCCATGTCCAATTGAGTTAATGTTCACAGTAGGATTCTCAATATACCGGGTCCGTCAACCCATTCCTAGGGTACCCAGTAAGCCTTTCTTACATGGAATCACACTACGAACTGATTACCAATTACATACGAATATTTTATATTCTCATATTGATGAAAAGTTATGCAAATGGGCGATACATACATTAACAACATAATTGAGACAATTATTACAAAATAGACCAGCAAAAGAATGTGCAGTAAGGTAAACAAAACAACCAAAAAAATAAATTAAAACAATCAATTTAATACGCAAAATATAATAGCAAGCAATTTAAGCAGTACAGAAAAATAAACGGTGAATAAAGGCATATATGAATTGACAGGTTCCGACTCCACTAGTGACATGTAATTATTTTTAAAGTTTTTCTAATTTAAATAAATATATTTAATATTAAAACGTTATTCTCATACTTATTATTACGAGTTTTTCAAAATCAACCTATGAAACAAATACTCATATAATATTATGATATCATGTATAAGTAAGGTCGGTAATTCTCCTCTTTTTACACGCTTACTGGAACCCTTAGGGGTCCAAAAGGTTATTTCCTTACTCATAAACTCAATATCTAGATTTGTCAATTAATCTAGTTGTCTCCATACCCCGTCCGGTAATGGACGCCAAACACATTAATACCTTGAGAATCCGTCTGGTATGATGGTGAATTATATCTCTCAAACCCTTTCGGTATAGGACTTTTCAACCCCGTCCAACTGAGGTAATGTTCATAGTAGGGTTCTCTATGTACTGAGTCTGTCCACCCATTCTTAGGGTACCCAGTAAGCCTTTCTTACATGGATCACACTATGAACCGATTACCAATTACATACTAACATCTTATATTCTCATATCGATAAAAAGTTATGCAAATGGGCGATACATATATTAACAACATAATTGAAACAATTATTGCAAAATAGACCAGCAAAGGAATGTGCAGTAAGATAAACCAAACAAATCAGAAAATAAATTAAAAATATCAATTTAATAGGCAAAATATAATAGCAAGCAATTTAAGCAGTACAGAAAAATAAACGGTGAATAAAGGCGAATATGAATTGACAGGTTCCAACTCCACCAGTGACCTGTAATTATTTTTAAAATTTTTCTAATTTAAGTAAATTTATTTAACATTAAAACGTTATTCTCATACTTACTATTACGAGTTTTTCAAAATCAACATATGAAACAAATACTCATATAACATTATGATATCATGTATAACTAAGTAAGGTCATTAATTCTCCTTTTTTTACACGCTTACTGGAACCCTTGAGGATCCATAAGGATATTTCCTTACTCATAAACTCAATATCTAGATTTGTCAAATAATCTTGTTGTCTCCATATCCCATCCGATAATGGGTGCCAAACACATCAATACCTCGAGAACCCGTCCGGTATGAGAGTGAACTATATTTCTCAAACTTTTTCGGTATGTGACTTTTCAGCCCCGTCTGACTGAGTTAATGTTCACAATAGGGTTCTCTACGTTCTAGGTTCGTCCACCCGTTCCTATGGTACCCACTAAGCCTTTCTTACATGGAATCACACTACGAACCGATTACCAG